TCGAGGGGAGGGAGAGGGGGAAGGAGATGAGACGAGGGCCCGGGAAGGTCCTGGGGGTGCGGGCTCCCTGACAAAGGTGCCTCAGAGGCTGTCCCCGCTGGGCCCAGCCTGCACCAGGGGCCTGTCTGCCCCGTCCCCGCCCAGGCCTGGGAGGCTGCGACTCACCGTGCGCCTTGGGCAGCCCCCAGCCCGTCACGGTGCAGACGGAGCGGTCCTTCAGCTCGTGGTCCGGGCCGGGCAGGCAGACGGGCCAGACGTAACTGCTGTACTGTAGCGGGCCCTGGAGCTTGAGCAGGCCGATGTTGTCGGCCCGGCCGACCCAGGACCAGTACCGCTGGGCCCGGTACCTGCTGTTCACGATCACCTTCAGCACCAGGACTTCGGAGAAGTTCTGTGCCCTCTGGTCAATCCACGGACTGCCCACCTTCACTGAGTACGTGACGTCACGCCTAGGGGACCGCAGAGGTGGCAGTCTGCGGTCAGCTCCAGGCCCCTGCCCGGCCCCCGGCCCCTGCCTTCCAACCCTCTGTTGACCTGTGAGCAAGGGCAGGCGCCCGCCCTCCTGCAAGCCCCCATCCCCCGGCCTACTGAACAGGGCAGGGGTGAGTAGGGCCCGGCGCACGGCCTCACCACTGCCCTTTGTTTCAGGGAGGAGGAATGCCAGGCTCAGGGCCGGTTCAGGGCCGCACGGCTACAAAGTGCTGGGCTGGTCCTAGACTTGACTCACAGAGGCCCGGGACTGGCCATGACCTGGCTCTCAGGGGCTGTCCTGGTATGCCCCTTGGAGTGCCCCTGGGGCCTTAGGCCTGGAACACCATTCCCCAGGGCCAGGGCACTCCCCGTGCACCCACTCCTCTGTGCCCGCCAGGCTTCCCTACGGGTACTTATCTCCATGTCTGTGTCCCCCAACAGCCCGCGACTGCCCAGGCCAGGCTCAGGCCCGAAGGACTGTCAAAGTCCACTGGCCGGAGGGGGAGAGACAGGAAGTGGAGTGAGGCTGGTGGGAGGGCAGACCCAGACTTCCTTCCTGGGGAGAGGTGGCAGGAGGCTGGACAGTGGCACCCGAGCCTCGCTCCCTGCCTACAGGCTGGGGGGCAGGAGGACCGGGTGCCAGGGCAGGGGAGCGAGAAGCGTGCACACAAAAGACTGGACCCGGGAGTCATCTCAGGGCTCGGCCCCCGCTGGCATGGAGCGGGCTGAGGGTGGGGCTGGAACCGGGGGCTTCACAAGGGACACAGCGCTGGACCAGCCGGGTGGGGTGACTGGCTCCCCGACAGCTCCGAGTGCCTCTCCACCAGCCCCGCCGGGGCCCGACTCACTGGGTCAGGCAGTAGGCCCC